ACGCTCGTACTGTGCATCTGAACAACAAACACTGACTAGTGCAAGAGAAAATATGCTTCACTGCAGAATGAACGCTCTTGCTGAGAGATGCAAAAAATGGAGGAATCTTGGAAAAAATGGCGCTAGGTCACATCAATCCCATAGATTACCACAAATAGTGGCGCCAGTCTGGTTTGCATGGGGCAACAGTAACATGTGGTGGATGTTACGTATGATTATGATGTGCAAAATTAGCTGCGACCACAAGACCGTGAAATTCAGCAAAAGAGGTTTTTTCTTCAACTACCATTCAGCTATACCCTGTAAAACCCATTGGCTTCGAACCTTCTATCGATCCCTCAGTTACATTCTTTGCTAGGATCCTATTCTTGTGTACAATAAAAATTACAGATATAAAACGGCAGTATGGCATCAAGCTAATTTTTTTCAAACCCTCTCTACGTTCATGAAGCCTGGTGTGCAGTATAGGCGATGTTTGCGAAAGAAAGACAAAAAATTAGCTGTATAATAGGAACAGCAACTATGAATTGTATATTTCGGGTAACATCAAAGATTTTCTTGAACAGAAGATAGAATGCAGATTTGTTTATAATATAATAGTACCTAGAAGATGCACTATCCTCCCTAACGATTCCGTGATGTAATCCAGCGTGCCCCGTTCCCCCTAAATTCCTTTCACAATTTCCAATAATTTGTTAACCTATCATTATGCATGATAAAGTCCTCGAGTTACCTCTGAGTTGCAGACACGCTCGTCAACTTCAACTCCATTAGCAGTAAATAAGATGTCTCGGATTGCAACGCACTGCGACGCGACGTGCGCTATCGCTTGCTTGATCGCATCGCGACGTTCAAGATTTACAATGCGAAAATGTCATTCCGACCACCAACATTGACGTTTCTATCGTCTCTAGAAAAACGCTATGTCACATTGCCATGATAGGTGATTAACGACGTCAACTCGGGGCAAGGCAGAAGAAAACTGGTCCTCGACAAGGGGAACTCGTCCACGAGTTCTACGCCGATCAGCGTTTATGGTCTTCGTTGAAATGCACGCTTTTAACGCCTAATTTACGAGCTCGCAGTGTGCATCGGGCATTTCACCGCACTTTCCCGATTTTCATGCATTCTTGTTGAAACGATGTCTGTTTGGTGACGTTTGATTAGAGCGTGATTTTTTCCAAAGAATCGCGATTTGAAATGCCCTTTTTTCAATCCATTTTTTGAAGGCCACAACTCTGTCAGGTCGTGACGTTCGCGGATGCACGAATGCATCAAACAGAGCACGATATCCTCCATTCCAACTCTTTGTATCCACTTTCGATTCAAACGCCGAGCTAGATTCTACCGATTTTAGCGGTTTTACATTGTGGCCAGAAAAAGCCATGATATCTCCTTCAGGGCGTATCGTTTGTTTTATTGCGCTATGAAGCAACGAAATTGCGAACTGAAGAGAGATAGAAGACAGCTGGACTGGAACAAGCAGAACTTGAGATTGCGACTGGCGCAGAGGGGACCACAACCAGCTGTTGGTGTGAAGCTCGAAAGTCAAATATTGAAGAGATTGCAGGCGTTTGGTAGCGTAATTAATCCCATGATACGGTAAACATACGTAAGCTAAGCACGCATCGCCTCGTTTCCGGTATCAAGCGTGAATTTGGTTTGCGCAAAGCGTCAACTATTCGATAAAAGATCAAAAAAAAAGAAGGCAAATAAGGTTTTTGAAAAGGCGTAGTACTAGCCAGGCCTGCATGCTCGTTCTTCCCTGAGGTGACCTTTGTTCAACCCGTCATCAAATAAACTGCCCGATCCTTTTTCCTACTTTCTTGCTAATGTTTGTGGAAGATCACTATCTGCCTCGCACCCATCACCTAATGGCCTGCACTTTTTTGTTTGTAGATTCTCGAAGCCGGTGGCGATGTTTACGTTAGTCACAGCATTTTTGCACGAAGGATATATGGGAGGTCGTAAGGGCAAGGTTAGAAGTGCAGTCACCTGCTCAGGTTGCGCTGGACATATGTAAAACAAGTGCCACTATTGCCACACCCACTGTTGACTAGCCTAAGCTAACATTTAGGTATACGGCGAACAGCTGATATGTAGTGCCTGCTTATTTTACACAAAATAATGGGTTTGCGGTTTCTGAGATGGTGACAGTTGTTTTGACAGTTATGAATGGTTTTAGGATCCTGAGCTCCATCCAAAATCAAGTGGCTCACGGATGATGAAGGTTGGAAGCATATTTATTGGGAATACCAGTTATTTGAGGCTTGTCTATATGTTAATTAGACTATTGTTCGAAGAATCCGTAACGTGCCGCTTGGTGAGCAAAGGTCTTGCGTAAGAAAGAGATTCCCACCAATTTTCCTAGCTCATTAGGGGACGAAGTGGGGGTGCGAATGAATGGTGCGAATGAGAACTCAGTGAAGGTCACCGATGCGAGCTTCGGATAATTTTACTGACAATAGCAATTTTCTCAGCTTATTCGGAATGAGAAATCTTTGAGTTTCAAATAGACCTTCAATACAACCTTAGCAACGTTCCAAACATGCTAAAGCTTTTGAAACTGGCCATAAGGCCAGCAGTCAGAATGCATCAGTCAACATGCCGTCTCTGACTCGATGAGAGTGCCCCACTAAGGACGATGAAATCGGGATTTCCGGTCGATTGCAATTCCGAAAAAAAAACGATTGTTGTGGAATAATTACGGCGTGTGTGCAAGAGCAGTATGGCGTGGCGTGGATGCAAGGGCACATGGAACTGGCCACTATTGCCGTGTGCTTTCAAAGGGATTAAAAAAGCTTCCGGCGATTTAGTCCGGGATTTTCGCGCCATGGGAACGCCGATTTTCAACGGTGGTAACGTATTTTTTTCAAGAGTCAGTGGTTTTTTAGGAAATGTCTTTTTCGTACCTTATACCTTATTTGCATCAGAGTGTGGAAATTGCAAAAATTTGGAGTAAAAGCGTAGTAACGGAACTTGCATGAAAAGAATAAATATAGTATGCGAACGAGAGTGCCAGACAGGAAGAGAAACTTTCCGGAACTTTTCTGGAACATGAAAAACTCTCCATTATTCGTTCTTTCATTTTATTGAAGGAAAAGAACAACGCCAAAATGGAAGTTTTACACGAATATTTCCGTTGTGTTGCTAACTTGAGTGTAATCGTACTCTATCGATGCCCATATATGAATCTTTAGTATATTTTGAACAACAGAATTATAGTTCAAACTCTGGTGTATTTTATAAGCCTCCCCACAACTTTCGCCTTTGGTCGCTTACATAACCCAAGCGATAGCCAAGGTCAAGTACTCTAAAACCTGCTAGTTCGAGAAAATTTTGAGCTTTTTCCCCTTTCAAACACTGCTCCTACGGTACGGTAATCATCATTGTAAATTCGTGTCTAGTGCGTACGTTGGCACTCATGCATATGATTACGGAAGTTTTTGGGATGGTAGCATGTCCGAATTAATGTGAAGCTGCTGGGAAAAAAGTGAGAGGAGAAGACAAACAAGCTGCTGCGAATTTATGTGCTGGTGAATATCTCTCGCTAATTCTTTGTAAGCAGTGCTGTCAGGATTCGGTTCCTCCTGCGCAAGTACCAGAAGTCACAACGCGTGTCAAAAAAAAGCACATCTGAATGACCACCAGGTACAAGACACATTACAGCACCTAAGTTAAGTCAATCATACTACTGAGCACATCTATCTTCGATACTGGTTGATCAAAGCAGACACGCCGCCACGCGTCCGCACCCACACTTGCCGCCGAGCGTGACCCTACGCAAACTTGAGAGCCCATAAAACAATCAACGCTTTGTCAGCGGTATCGCTATTTTTGCAATAACTTCTCCGACGTGCGGAAAAAAATACTCCTAGTGTAGATCTAGTGGTGCCTCTAGTGGCTGACGACGATCGCAGCCTTTCATGATCATAAACAGCAATGATATTGAAACAAAGGCATTTTGTTTATGCGCGAAGAGCCTGCATCTGAACTCTGCCCTTTCCCCCTCCCCCTAAACACTCCAATTTTGAATTGTGGCCAATAGATGGTCTCAATGCATCAAAATTCCAATGTAGTAGATGGGGTTGCATGAGGTTCAAAAAATTCTTTCTAGTGGTACTTGTGCCCTTACTTCTCCTCATCAGTATGTAATTATATACCTTCCCATCTCACCCACGGACATAAGAAGTACGCACTCAACCCACTGTCTCGGAAGTTCTTGCTAACTAACTGCACACTACTGCTCCTCAATTGATGTATGCTAATGTGCGTGAATCGTGGCCGAGCCGAGCTCGAGTTGGAGCCAACTCAGCGGGACACCTCATTCAACACAATGGGCAACCTAAACTCTTGCCTACCAACTTAACCGGTAGCCCTAATTAAACATTTCCGGGTTATTTGATCGCACACAATGGATGCCTCTGCTCGATTAGCTAAAGTTGCGTAACAATGAATCTCAAGAAGGCCGTGGTCAACTTTACCCATATGACTACCGTAACCCATCAAAATATCAACCAACCTTTTATCAGCCATCAAAGTTGGTGATTACAGTGATGAGGTCGTCGACATCGTAAAAATTTTGTCGGCACTTTGCGAAACACTAAAATTTTGAATTTGCCCTAGTCAAAGCACAATGACAATTGTTGATCAATACTGATCGATAAGACAATTTATTATCAATCGATTCGATGAGACTGATAAATTTATTCTTATATATCACATTTCAAAGCGTATTTATATACAAACTTAACATAAACCCGTAACAACTCTATCCTAGGCGAGAAAATCAAATATATAAACATTCAAGATGGGCAGACTCTGGCCAGGGGCACCCGGATGACTGAGGTGAGGCGGTGATAAGATGCTGTATGATAAACAATCATAATTTCAGGAAAGGTTAAAAAGGGATACATAGACATCAAAGAGTTCAGCATCTGTTAATTCTTGAAAAATTGATTATCACAATAATATTCAGGCTATTAGGGTGTTGGGACTGCTTACAACAGCACAGTAAGTGAAAAGAACAGAATAAAGGTGGAAAAGAGTGGCAGTGACATAGCTGAGGCTTCCAAGGGTAATTCAATAATTTCTCCACCAGGAAACCGCTCGATAACGTTTTCGTCGAGGATTTTCGAATGCGTGACAAAATTGGTCGACAGTGTCTTTCCCATACCTCGATTTGTGATAGGTTGAATTTGCAGAGTATACATCGTAGATGGTACCAAATTCTCATAATGCACCTAAAAATACGGTATTCAAACGCTTGCTTCACAACCGAGGTGAATATCTTACCTCTCTTGTCTGTGGGGGTAGAATCGTGATATTCGCGTCATCACGAATTGGTGACGACAATGCAGCCCGGTACCCAATTACGGTATCTGCATTTGTTCCCCGATCTCGTACCCAATGGCAGGATACGGTAGCATGGACTATACAGAAAAGGGGAGTGGCTAGAGAGAGACATGGCAAAGCTCCCTGAGCGGGAGTGACATCGCAAGACTTGGTTGAGAAGGAAGTGCTGATCACCGTCTAAATAATAGACTACTTTGATATACAGGAAATCATTTTCTTCTAAGTGTTTAGCAGATAATAGTTTTAAGGGTCAATGCCGCAAAATCAATGCCCCAAAATGTATGGTGGTCAATGATCGACCATATCAGCCAAAATCTCAAAAAATCAAAAGATGATATGATTTTGACTTACCCTCTTATTCTCCTCTTCCGCGATTTCCAGCGTATAGTCGCAATCAAACGTCAAGCCCCCTATGGCCGCAGAGCACTCACCGACTTGTAATTCTTGTACTCTGCAATCACGCAGTTCAGTGGTAGCTTATCAATCGATTACTGATCCAAAGCAACTTACGGTGTATCCACATGTTGATTCAACTGATATTCTCGACAAGTACCGCGCTTTACTGTCACCACGAATGTTTTCTTTTCCGGTGAGCAGGCCCGAGAGTTGATCCAGTTAACGGTCATCTGAATGGAATTGAAATAGTGGTTCGGAAAGATTGAAATTGATCATGTGCTGTGTTAAGAAAACGCAAGGTGACATTTTCCTAGCACATATAAGACGTATGTAATCACAGGTTTAAAATGCTTGATAACGAAAACTAGCCCGAAGCTCTCCATCAAAGTACGGCGTTTGTATATCCACATTGTCGTCAGTGGTCTCGTCTTCGTTCTCGTCAGTAGTTGTCGGCACTGCCAAATCAAAGCCGGTTTGATCTAACATAAGCATGATTAAGCTCGGTTGTTACGAAATGAGGGGTTATGACAGACCGATAGGTGGGTCCTGAACGATTTCTGATGTGGTGGCATTCAACGTCCTAAAAAAGAATGCCTTTCTCCCCGTGAAGTTCACCTTCGCTGGAGTCGACGGAAGCGTGGATCTGAAGATAATAGGTCTTTTATAAAATTAGGCGCAATAATTCTGTGATAATAGATGGTCAATTGATTTTTTACAAACGCGCCATCGCGCAGCGCGTTACTAAAAAACCATGAAAATCACCTCAACGATATAGACGGAGTTCGGAAACAGTCCTGACAGTTCCGACTGAGTAGTATGGCTTGGAACAATTACGGAATGCCTGTCCCTGCAAACAATATTTTGTTTCAGCAGTTCTACAAACAGTAGCAAAACAAAAGGGGAGAGGAAACCTACCGTCCGTCAATGCCCCACGCTTCCTCTTCCTCATCAAGACTTCGCTTTTCATGAGTTGTGAGTGTGGCTCGACGTCGCATCATCTCCTCGAATGCAATGGCTTCGGAAGGTGACCACACAGCCCAGGACAACTGTAAAAATAATGTGCATGCCCCAATACTGAGATCTATCCCATGCTAGATAGCTACCTGATAACTCTTGATGGGTAGATCGCTTGTGGGTGGGGTCCACTGCACTATTTGATCCCATAAACCTATAGGAGTGAGACGGGAGGCTCCCAAGAAGATGTCACGAGGTGTTCAAGGTGCGCGGGCTTCTGGAAACATTGGTCGAAAACCATAAGGGCCAAGTGTATGCTAAGCGGAAATAAAAAATTTGAGCACTACTTTTGCTCACCTTTGGAGAGTTTGAAAGGCTGTGAAGGCTGGCTGAATCCAAGGCTGCCATGGATGCTTACAGCTCCCACACGGAACTCATAGTACCGTCCAGGTGAGAGCAGATGTTTCAATATTGCATATGGCTTGTTCCTCTGTAAAAAATCCATTAGTACAGTATCAAATTCCTCAAACACCAAACTTGCTTACCACAGTGACCGTTTGCCATTCCGTCATACTTTCGCCTTCAGGGTGTAGACCCCACCGCCACTGCACCACATGCAGATTTGAATTGGCAGCATTTTGCTCTCGAGTGAGCTTCTGCATCACCCAGCGTATAATAATTGAGCTGAAGTCGTACAGATGATTTCATCTGAGAATCAAAGAGTAAACGACACCTACCGTTTCCTCTTCCTTTCTTGGACAGAGATGGAGCCCGGTATTGGTAGCAATCGCGGATTTCGTCCTTTCGGCAGGACACACTGCCTGCTGCAGCCATAAGAACAGCACTTTTCGGTCTCAGGACAATCTCCGTCCAGGTGACAGAGGGCAGTACACTCCTGTAAAATAACGTTTAAGTGAAATACATGCTTCAAAAGTGTTTGTAGACTTACATAATTGGACTGGGTTTTTATTTTTGGACAAGCCCCAGGTTTCTCAGTGTAGATGTGCTGGAGGTTCACAAGATTTTTCACAGGCACTTCCATTTTTTGTGTCCTACAAATTATGAAGGTTATACTTGAATTGCAAAAATTTCATTGATATGGCGCTTTGTTTGTAAGAACACAAATTATCAAAGCAGAAATTATTCAGGAACTTCGAAAAAAGAAAAAGAAGCTTACCTTGCAAGCGCTATTCTTGCACGAGTTAGCATCGGAGAATGTTTCTCGACACGGTTCGTTACACTGAAAGAATCTGTTTGAAACATGGGATTGCTGACCGGAAATACAAGAACAAAGGAAGGAGGATTATAGGAGGAGGGATGATCTGGGAGCAAAAAGGCCAGTACTAATATTTTTGTCTATATCTCACAGCTAATTAACTGGATTCTATGTGGCTGTCTTGCGGTTATCCTCCACCCCATTACGCAAATGAGCTTTACGCATTTCTGCCCATTCTCTCACTAACACTTCTCCCCATGTGAAGCTGTTTATGCTCCTCTCCAAGTCATTCTCAACGGCTTCCAATCTTGCGGTAGTGATTTTCATTAAGTGGCGTTTAGCTATGGTAATTGTTGATTGTGGGTGAGAAGGCTTCGAGCGTAAGCATTATGCGATCATTGACAGCCGCGCAGACCTGAACCACTTTAGCATGACCAACGAAAACAAGTCAAGTGTGGATCAGAGGTGCAAGTGTGAGTTAATATTACATTCTGAAAACCACTGGGAGGTCACTAAGATGAGCAAGTGTTTGATGGAATGTAATGGGAACTGGTGCAGGGCACTAAGTTTAAAACAAGTACAGTTGAAAACTTAATGAAGCTGGTTTGAAATAACTGTAGGTCCTGTCTCGCCCTTTTCGGTGTTGACCTTACCACAAAACCCAAACCCGTCCCGAACCAAGCCCTATAGCTGCACGACTGGATTAAACATGCTTAGCGACTATCTTGATGGCTTTGTGTCAAGCGGTCAAGTGGCTTTTAGTCGCCACTAAAAATTGATCCTCAACCATCATCAGCTGCTATCAGCGCACAGATGGATCGGCGCTGTTCGTCATAGGACAAGCAAACAGCTTGTGCCATGAGTTAATTCGATATAGCATTGCTACAGTATGCCTAAGGATATATAAGGCGCACTTTGCTACATATATAACGATTATTCACAGTGAGTTTGCGCCTTTAACCTAACCTGACAATTATCACTCTGCTACCCCGTCCCATCCGATCCCCTCCCCTGTTCTCCTCCTTTTCTTATGCGCCACATGGCATCACACAAATCCATAAGAATGCTTTTCCATAGTAACTATGCCTTTGTCATCTAACAACGCCGGCTTTTTATGGCTTTGATCTTTTATGAGAACATTGCCTAACAGCTTGCGTGCTTGTGCAACATCGGCGAAATCGAAACGATTTTGAGACAAAGGCATCTGGTGGCTACGGCATAAATATCAAAGCACATATAGACTAAGTCGGCCAAGTCCAGGCTACAGTATATTAACCGTAAACCGAAAGAGAAGCACGAAAGAAGAGTCCGCTGCTTCAACAACCCTAACGACAGAAAATGTTTTGCAATCGAAGGACCCCCAGTGTTGTTAGTCCTGACAGCCAAAGAAAACGCCTGTGAAATATGTCTCAAGCCACTTTTTCTTCTCTTTGTTCAAAGTGAAATACGCGCAGTTCACATCTGGTTGCTACGGCGGCAGCTCAAACGCGCTTGATGTCTGCGTAGTGCTTACCACCGCTAGTAAAATCGTTTACTACCACATGTAAACAGTTCACTAATCGCTTGTTCGCCAAGCGCAGCTATTTGAGGACCTGTGGTCCATATGGGAACCCGCGCCACCGCAGATGTTCAGGGGTGCACCTGGTGAGTGTCATATGTCTTTGAGCGCAGGGAGAAGCATCATGTAACGTCTCAGTTTTGAGGCCTACGGTGACCCTACAGTACATGAATATTTTCATAAAGTTTATAGTGTGTTGCATATGACGGATATGACAGATCCTACATGCACACCTCTTCTGCTAGAGTTTGGTTCATTTCTCTCTTGATTTCCCACTCTACCTTCCCCCCCCCCCCCCCCGCATCGTTCTCCCAAACGCTGCCTATAACAGACTCTGCCTCGTTTTGACATTTCTCCCTCAGCACAACTTCTTCAAGCCTAGATTGTCTCGCCGTGATAGATTCACTCTCATTGTTCTCGGCGATCTGCCGTCTGCAGACGAGATTTAAAAATGCGACCCATTGATAAATGCGGCCACGCCATATGGTTGTTGAGCACCGCGCGCTTAGATAAAGTGCCGCTTTCCCATAGTTCATCAAAATATAGGTAGAAAAAGCATTGCAACCACAGCGGTAGACAGATAGATGTTGATAACCGTGCGAGACTTGAAAAGCAAGAACAAAAAATCCGAAGGAAGTTCTGCTTGCTTGTGTGATCTTGATAAAATTGCTTGAACAGCCTTATCCCGTGACCCTTACATGAAGGTAATTTATCCTTTCTTTTCCATCCTTTGTGTGATTTCTATGGTTCACAGATTCTGATTCCCCGTGCGCACTCCTTATAACGTAGGAATGCGCAGCGAAGCGGAGCGACCGCAGTAACGAGTCTTAATGGCTACTCCATAATTAGAAGATGTAGTGAAGGAGTAGTGGCGGGCTTAAATTTAGATATCAACAGCGATTTTTTGGGTTTGGTAGGCTTGGTAGATTTCTCCGTACAAACAACGAAGCAAATAGCTACTGTCCTGACGGTGTAGACAAGATGGCTAATCCTCATATTTGCGTTAGAGATATACATTTTATTGCGGTTCACACTCGGACGAAGATGTCTGGGCAAACAGGTTAATCTGAGATCGCGCATCGTATTTGTGCGCTTCTATGGGGTATGGGGGTATGCCATCGTATAAGGACATATGAGTAAGAGGAACTCACAGCAGAACACGTAGCGTCATATTTGCAGATTTGGATGATGTGGTGCTTCAAATTTCGCCGTTGTTCCTGATCACTCTGAAAAAGAAATTTGAGCAATGTTATCTGCGAAACAACAACACAAATTACTGGCAGAATGCAAAGAGAAGAGGAGATCAAAAGGCGATGATTTTGAAGAAATTGAGCTACTCTGTTCTACAGATGGCTGTGGAACATGGGTGGTATGCAGGTGCAAGATGCCGCATATTGAGTAGGAGGCCACAGCCTCAAGGATCCTTACTTTCTAGGCTTCAAACCATTGTGGAGCGAGCTTTTAATTTTATTCATTACCATTCCCTTTCCTCTCTCCAAATGCTGACCTTAGAATACGTCACGCAGCTCTACATCGCTACGTAATCCTCTATAGAGCACTTCCGTTGCGCAACGGTCACTGCTACAGTGTTACACAATCTTAATAGGCTACTAGCATGTATGCGAATAATTACGGTCATTTACGTCGTGTAAGTGCTTAAAAGTGTGAGAAACTGCACACACGGTACTGTAAAGTGGTTGGTGAGTGGACCATGGTAAACACTTCATGCCAAAATAGTTTAGAGAATTCACAATTTTTCAATTTATTTGTTATCAACAATCCCTATTCCATAATTCGAAACCTTGTCCCCTTCCGGATAATTTTTGTTCCTGTATGAGTCGCGCAATGTTGCTGGCGGTGGTTCGCACTCACACCATTTGGCGACAGATCCACCGTAGTCATTCAGGCGTAAACACACACCCTCAGTGACCTTCTACGATGAAGAAGGAATCAAATCACCGAAAAGTAACAATATAGTGAATCTCAGCAAAACCAAGTCTTGGAGCCGCTGAAATACGGTAGACGCTATTTTGCACAATCGTAATAGAGTACTGGGAATACCTGCTGCCAGCAATTTTGATCCCTCTGTTGCGCAGTGGCTACTTTTGTAGCTCACAACACAGTAAAGCCGAAACAATAACCCGCAATTGCTGTAGTGCGCCACTGAATGCACTGTTTCAAGATAAGAGAGACCCCGACATTTGCGGTTATTGTGAAACTATAATTATTGTATAAACGCTACTGTAGCACATGCTGTTCCGAGTGCTATAGAAGTTTTCTGGGGCGGCAATATACAATTATCCCTGCAGCGAAATTGTACCAACCGAAAAAAGCAAATGACTGTAGCGAGTTAATGTAACTGTTATTTTTTATCAGAAGATGGTACAGGACGGATTCAGTTGCAATTTGTAACGCACTTACAAAACTTCAAAGCCTGTATACTGTGAAAGTAACTCCTAGCAATCAATTTCCAAAATCTCAACCACAAAGGTCCATCTTGGCCCGACACCACCCCTTCTGAAGGAAAAACAACTATCATCAATCAATTCAGCGGTGATCGGGTGTAGCGTCAAGCAGACGTGGACGTCGGTCAGCTTTGTCTGACGTTGATTTCTAAGCGTATTCGATCATCAAACGCGACGCTTCATTACCGCTCCGTGCACGACGCTGTGATTTATGAATTCGTTAGATATGCAGTCACGATGCTGAATCATTGACGATACGCTGGACTCCTCACTTCAAATCTTATGAACCTGACGTAAAAAATCTTGGCTTCTACTACTGTGCTCCCCTCCCCTCCACCTCGTCAGAAGAGAACAAAAGGGCGGTAACTGCATATTAACTTAAATTGATGCTAATTTCGGTTAGGCGAGTCGGCATAAGTAACATAAGACCAAAGAAAGGAGAGCACCTGCCATAATGATTGCTTGTTTCCCAACTGTGCGGAGCGAGTTCATATTTCACTCGTTAAGTCATTCAAAACCTTATGGTTATTCCCAATACTTTGTATGAATATATTGGTAACTGGCGCAGGATTGGCCGTTCTTGAGCGGAGATTTGAAATCAGTAATTTGGACCTTCGCGAACAAACTGTCCACAATCGCGCAATCTCCATATGTCCATTAAACTCTTCAGGACTCAAAACTAGAATTATAGCTATAAGTACTTACGCAGACACATACACAATGGAAGAAGGCCTTATTAAAGACCCGCAGGTCATTAATTGGTCTGCGGCATCGCGTTCATTCATCGCTAGAGCATCTACATCTATAGCTACCGCCCGAGGCTAATACTAGCGCTCCCACTTGAAAAAATGGTCCTGTGAATGCCACGGCGCTATGGCAGTGAAATTAGACCTGTGTAGACGTCCGATGTGGAAATTTATGGCGGAATTGCCGCCCGCAAAAATTCCCAAAAGCGTTATCGTATTTTATT